AAATGAAATAGTAACGTTAATTGTGAATGGCAGATGAAGTTCCTTTGTGAGAAGTTGCAATGAACCCTTCTCTCCTCATCTTATCTTCCTTGGATTTTCTGCAGAAAACGACCCAAGAATTGACCTCCAAAGCAATGCAAAGGCCAATGAGAGTAGAGAGTCCTAGGCAATAGGTCAACTTGGCGTAGGACCTGCTTGCACCCATCACCTCAAATCCTTGAAAGACATTCACAAACCCAAGCACCACACACAAGTACCCTACAAAGTGGTGGTACGATTTCCAGTACTTTATGAACTTGTTCCTTGTGTTTGGCCTAAACAACAGTGCCAGAGTCTGCAACGCCCCTAAGCAGAACACTCCGATTCCAAGCTTCCGGTGAAGCCTATACTCCACTCCCGGCGACAGTTGCCCCAGCCGGATTCCGATGCCAAACCCCACCGTCCCCAGAACGAAACCAAACAGTTGAACTCCTGCATCATCACTCTTTCCCAACTCTGACACCACACGAGCCCTAGAATAGAAAAATCCCCCAATTTGATTTTGATTTCCCACTTGCACAGATGATGCATGTTTCAGAAAAAAAACATTAAGTTTTTCCATATTTGCCCTCTGTTTAATTAATTTCACCATGAATTATACTATATTTACTTCATTCTTTATTTCTGAGTATTAAAAAATTGCATTCACACAGGCCACGTCACACACTCTTTAACGCCGTTTTCTGAAATTGACGGAAAAGATTTATTTGCATCAAATTAAAAAAAATAAGGATCTAATTAAGACTNTATCTTCGATCCGTTGAACTTTCACTTGCATTTGTTCCATACCCTGCATTCTCTGTTGCAAGTCTTGTACCCCCTCCCACATTTCACTCATCATATTAGTATTTGTAAGATGTGAAGGAGGTTGCACAAGATTTTCATGATGGTGTGGTTGGTTGCGTCGTCATCATCACCGACGTCGTGTTGCCAAACACCGTGGACATTAACAATATTCAACCTCTTCAAAGAAGTAATTGAAAAATGATGTTTGGTCCCAATATGAGTGATGACATCGGCATCAACATGTACTCCACAATATTGCATGATTTATGTGATAAGGACACCGTATGGTAGGGGTGTGTCACCGACCGTGCATTTAAGCATATACTGCATGATGTGATGAGGGCAATTGATAACTATATTATTTTTAAGCACCCATAACATAAAGATATCCTCCTGCAATAATTTTGCAAAATTCTCAGGTCGTGGAGTCAACATGTGCACAATAACATAATGCAGAAGTCTATCATTAATATTCAAACAACCAACCGTTTTAACACGGTAACCCTGCATTTATGGTATAACCATAGTAGCTAATGACATCTCCCGGTCATATGGAAAGTCATCTAGGATATTTGAAAAACACAATTTTTGACCCTCATACTTCATATTAGCAACAATCAACCAATCAGCAGGTTTAAATCTAATACTTCTCTTATTAACCTCAATGAGCAAATATCCATTTCCAGAAATCTTCAGATTTGAATAAAAAACTTTGATTAAATCCGGATAGAAGGGTCCCTACAATGTCAGAAATTCGACCACCCCTTGAAATAAAAGATGATGTTGGAAAAATAACCCTGAACCGACAAATGATTCGAAATTCATTATTTTTGGAACAACAATATTCCTTGTGAAGAATTCAGCTACATAGTTTTCCATCTGATGGCTGTGACTGAAGAAACGACACTGATCTAATTGTTCTGCAACAGATGGTCTGACATAGGCTGCATCGTCTAGCTCAATTACAGCTTCTTTTTCCTTACGACTTTTTCTAGGCCTTTTGGTTGATGATGAGTCCATTTCACAATATCTTCAACAAAACCATAAATGCAAACAATAACAAGGTAAGTCATAACAAATTATTGAAGATTAAAAATAACAACAAGCAAAGAAAAATGCTTAGATCATAACCGTAACCATAACTTTAAAATTGAAGATGGATCAACATAATACATTACATTCATATATTCAACCTCATAAACATACAAATAAGCACCAGTGATTCACACATTCATATATTTATTAAAAACAAGGACTGTATAACACTAACCTCTTGAAGATGTATAAAGATTTGAAGCGGGATTAAGCAATAAGCCACTCACAGATTCTCCAATCACAAATGCAATTTCTCCAATGGTAAGATGCTAAGTTCAAATGTCAAATTACAAAGATAACTATCACCCTAAAACAAACCAAACCTGCAAACATAATTATATCAAATTATTATACAACATAATGCTTCGACAATGCACACAAAGCTTCAAACAACTTTCGATGTTACATTAAAATGTACTACTTGACTACGTGATGCACCACAATTCCCCACCTTCACAAGCAACCTCCCAGCCAGCTCTTTCCTAACAATGCAAGTGTATAAATATTCGTAAACAAGGCTTTTTACACTGTCAAACACATCATAAACTCCTTTCATTATCAACAAACAAAGTTAAAAACAATACCAATCACATACACAATGTTGTTGATGAACCTCTACCACCTTGCCTAGCCTACACAACACACAAATGCTCTACTTGCTTGCCAAATCTCCACCACGCTCACAAGACCTCCAACAAATGAACACCTGCATCACAAACAAAGGGTTAGGGGTGCTCATCTGTCACCCACCTATATCTACTCCAATGCATGCACGGGAGATGATTCACTCTTCTCTGCATTCTCCAAGTTTGTTATCTTTTCCAGCGTCTCCTTCTCCAGGTTCTTCTACTACTGCAACAACGATGGAATGGAGCTGTCTGCAATGGTGGAATGGAGCTTCTCCAGGTTAGGCTCTTTCGTAACACTTCAGTCGGCCTCCAACTCCAGGCCAAGCTTCCCTGTCATGGTCGAAGGAACATGATGAAACTGAATACACCGCATCGCACACAACCAGGGAACTGGATAGCCTTCATGAAACTGAATACGGAGGTCTTGTGGAGAAGAGGGAACCGAATACGCGAGGCTCTACGAGATCTGCGACAAAGGGGAACCGAATACTCATGAGTTGGAACCGGATACAACTCGTGTGTGAATGATTCCAAGCTCTGGAACCGAATACTCCAGCTATGGAACCGAATACGCTGCCTTCAATTTCGTCGTCAACCACTGTTCATCGTCTTCTTCAGCTTAAAACACGCAGATCACATTTCATACTTTCTTCTTCATGCCATCAACATCTTCGTCGTCCTCATCTACAAGCCTGAAACTCAAAAACAACAAGAAAATTGGACAACCAACAAACGACAATACTAACCTCACCTCAGACCTTGTTCCTCGTCGTCAATGGAAGAAACCACCGTTGCTCTTCATCGTCAATGGAAGAAACCCAACACATTAGACTTTGAACACCACATTCGCAGACAACTCAAGGGACCAATATATTAACTCATGATCGCTCAATAAACACAACAACTACCCAACACCAACCACTTATTTAAGTTGCTCATGGTCAAAACCGCTTGAACTTTATGACTGTGTGTGCAGGAATCTTTCCTGTTTAACGACTATGTCAAGCAACTTCAGTGCTCAGGGAATCTCTGCAACCACGCCAAGCTTTGCTCGTGAATCTACAATATCAGTAGTAAAAGCTTCTATCAACTGTTGTTCTTCAGGTTTTTAAACTGTTGGAATCGGTTATGAAGCTTTTGCGAATCGATTTTCTACGTAAAAGTTGATATATATATAGGAAAATGTATAATAGGTTGAGGGTATATGTGACATTTCAGTCACAATCTCTCCAAATCTCTTCAAAGTCGCGGGTGATTAAAAATAGTGGTATCCTGCAAATCCATCTTCGCCTTTTCTCGCATTTCCTCTCATCTGAACACGACTGCATTCTGAAATCATCACTTGCATTCGCGCTTGAACAGTAAAATTCTATTCAAGCGAACACTGCATTAATATTTCTCCAGTTTTCTTATTTTTTTTCAAAAATTATTTTGTTTTTTTCATTTTTATATTTAATTTTTTTAAACTTCTTTAAAGAGTAAAAATTGTCCACTATATTATGTAAGATTAATGTACCTCGAACGAAAATTAAGGAAAAATCACCCATTATTATTTCAGTAAAAGTTGATATTAAACATATTCTAAAAAAATTAAATTTGTACGGTTAATATATTAATTATTTATACCCAATTTATCAGTACTTACTTTTTAACCTTGTTTCCTGTATTAAATAGAGATACATATTAATTAATATGCAAATTTAAACATTACTAATCAATTTCAATATGTTGTTTGCTTATGAAATATAGAATATATCTATCATAAATAATTTAGTGCTAGTATATTATCACTGTAATATTATGGTCTAATATCAAATTATAACACATACAATTTTTAAAATTATTATTATAAATTTTAATAAATTTATTGTAAGTTTCTTTCATTTTCTTATAACATACAATTATAATTATATATATATAATTTTTTTTATTCTAAATTAACATAACTTTTGACATCTACAAATATTTATTTATACTTCTGTAAGATTTATATTGAATTAGATAAAATAATTGGTTTAATGTCTCAATAGGTTCCTATTTTCGTCCCAAATTTGAAATAGGTCTCTTTTATTTTTGAAGTCTTAATTAGATCCTTATTTTTGTTAATTTGATGCAAATAAATCATTTCCGTCAAGTTCAGAAAACGGCGTTAAAGAGTGTGTGACGTGGCCTATGTGAATGCAATTTTTTAATACTCAGAAATAAAGAATGAAGTAAATATAGTATAATCCATGGTGAAATTAATAAAACAGAGGGTAAATATGGAAAAACTTAATGTTTTTTTTGCTGAAACATGCATCATCTGTGCAAGTGGGAAATCAAAATCAAATTGGGGGATTTTTCTATTATAGGGCTCGTGTGGTGTCAGAGTTGGGAAAGATCCCTAGAATAGAAAAATCATTGGATTTGGATACAAAAAATTGAGTAAAAAGTTGAAATGAAATAGTAACGTTAATTGTGAATGGCAGATGAAGTTCCTTTGTGAGAAGTTGCAATGAACCCTTCTCTCCTCATCTTATCTTCCTTGGATTTTCTGCAGAAAACGACCCAAGAATTGACCTCCAAAGCAATGCAAAGGCCAATGAGAGTAGAGAGTCCTAGGCAATAGGTCAACTTGGCGTAGGACCTGCTTGCACCCATCACCTCAAATCCTTGAAAGACATTCACAAACCCAAGCACCACACACAAGTACCCTACAAAGTGGTGGTACGATTTCCAGTACTTTATGAACTTGTTCCTTGTGTTTGGCCTAAACAACAGTGCCAGAGTCTGCAACGCCCCTAAGCAGAACACTCCGATTCCAAGCTTCCGGTGAAGCCTATACTCCACTCCCGGCGACAGTTGCCCTAGCCGGATTCCGATGCCAAACCCCACCGTCCCCAGAACGAAACCAAACAGTTGAACTCCTGCATCATCACTCTTTCCCAACTCTGACACCACACGAGCCCTAGAATAGAAAAATCCCCCAATTTGATTTTGATTTCCCACTTGCACAGATGATGCATGTTTCAGAAAAAAAACATTAAGTTTTTCCATATTTGCCCTCTGTTTAATTAATTTCACCATGAATTATACTATATTTACTTCATTCTTTATTTCTGAGTATTAAAAAATTGCATTCACACAGGCCACGTCACACACTCTTTAACGCCGTTTTCTGAAATTGACGGAAAAGATTTATTTGCATCAAATTAAAAAAAATAAGGATCTAATTAAGACTTCAAAAATAACAGGGACCTATTTCAAATTTGGGACGAAAATAGGGACCTATTGAGACATTAAACCTAAAATAATTTTATACCTACTAGGAAACTAAGTATTTCTCATATGATAAGATAATATTTTAGACCAAATTTATTTTATATCACAAGCTAGGTCACATAAATTTTTATTAACTTTCATCAATTATATCTGTCTTAGTGTGAGTTTAATATTAGTAAAATTGGGATAATCCTTTCTCAAAATCTCTATTCTATATACAATCTACAACCTCTTAACATAATATTTCTACTTGAAAATAACCATATTTACATCATACCAGATATCACATGACAATAAATCATTTCACTCTCGTTCATACATACATTTTTATCTGAAATCATTTTCAAATAAAATCACCCATTTTCATTCATGCATATAGATTGAACGAAATTTAAATGCTAAGTATTCCATTGCATTATCATAAATAATCAAATACAATATATTACTTAAATATAATAAGATAGTGAAAAATAATCCACATTCAAAACATTTAAAAGATTAACTTTTTTTAAAGTTCATAAAACACTCTTTTGCTTAAGCAACACTTAGTTTGTTCAGTGAATTTAGCATATGTTAAAAATTTTCAGTCAAAATTCTTTTCACTGGGCTAAGGTGTCAACACAATAAGTAAATTTTGGCTCGTCCAACAAAAATTTGCTTACTATGAGTGTTTATAAACTCAATTTCCTTGAAAGAGAATTTACTTTCTTAATGACCAAAACTCTTAAATTTTTCACAAAACTATATTCTTCCATTGAGAGATTGGCTCACTCAGTAAACCAAAACATGAGGAGTTATATTTAAAGCTTGGAAACAAGTATTGCTTTATGAGTTATTTGAATGAATTTAAACTAAAACAATCTAACTCAATTGATGTATATTTATTTTTCCAAATCATAAAGAAATAACATGTATCAAACTAATTTTCTATATTCATGATTCAACAATCATCAATCGTCCACAATTAATCAAATAGATCAATTTTTTCAAATCAAGTATGGTGACTTCATTACCCTTACAACCAGATCATTTAACCTAGAGTGTTAACAGAAAATAACTAGTTTCTCTTACTTGGATTAAACTTCTTGTATGAGTTAAAACTCCAAGAATTCTAATTATCATAAGACACCACACTTATACATTAAAAACTCATCAACCATTTAAACATATCCTAACAATCATAAATAAATAGATATTCGTCTTAAGCCTAAATAAGCCACTTGTAAGCCACACTCTACACATGCATGTAGAACCTAAAAGAATTACTCAAGAAAAGGAATGAAGATAAACTTGATCAAATTAAAATATTAATTCAGAAAAATGGTTGTATTTTAGACCAAGATCTCTATGGTAGACTCTAATATTTAATAAGATGAACATATCGTTTAGAAACATAGAAAGAAAAAAGAGGAAAAGAATAAAATAGTTTTAGAAAGACAATGTTCTTTTAAAATGAAACTTGAATAATTGATTTCTCTATTTACAAGCTCTTCATTTTAATAAATAAAATATTCAAGCTTTAGATAGACTACTTCCTCTTAACTATTTCTAAGTCCTTATAATGATCTTAATTAGCATGTAACATGTCACTAATTATATCATCAAATATTTAATAATAGATAGTACTAACCTAAAGATATACATACACATCTACATATATTTACAATCTTCCAAGTAGTTTGTGTGTGTCAAAATATTTCAAAAGGCAATATAAGCATTAAATTACTAGAAGAAACTACAAATCACACACACACATATACATTTATTCAATCCTCACTATTACTCTCTACCATCACCTGTAAAGCCTTCTACTCACATATAACATACATACGCTCATTATATAGGTAGAAAACTATAACATAATAGAATATAAAGGGTAAGCTAGTGAAAAATTAAATAATACTACATATAACAATTCATCATCAACTAAAAACAACAACACTCATCAAGAATCCAAATTTCTATAACACAATCCAATCCTCATGACTCAACCCTCATGGCTCAATGATAACATAGACATTTGACTCTACTTTTAGAAGACTAGTGTATTGAATGAACTTAGAGATTATACACATGTCATATTTCACTCGCCTCTTAGGACCTATACCTATAGATTCAAATATTAAGATCATTGTAAAGTATAACCAAGGAAAATTCCTTATATATATCTATATATATATATATATATATATATATATATATATATATAATGTTTGATCTTTTTTTCATACTGAAGCTTCATATTGTAGGAACCTCCTTTAACTCTCTCAACTAAGTATCTTTGTCTATTTTGAGCCTGATAATAATAATTAAGATAATCTCTATACAAAATCTTTTTCAATACATCATCTAACATCATATCAATGTAGTACTCCTTCTTAGAAGTCATTACATTTATATCACCCAAACAATAATTTACACATCATAATAGATTATGGCTCATGCTCTAACTTTACTCAATCATTCACCCATAGAAAAGAGTAGATATTGACTAACATCTTCACCCAACCGTTTTATTAAAAAACCATAAAATATTTATTTTCTTAATCTCACGTGATCACATATATCATTAGAAAACTTTAAATTAATTTTAAAAAAAATATTTTCATAAATTTTCACTCAATGCAAAACTTTACTTATCCAATAAAAAACATAAATGAAACTATCTATTTTTAAAACCAATATTTTCACTCAATGTGACAATGACTCACTCAACAAGCGAGTTCTAGAAGTAAAATTCCCAAAATTTTGTTCAATGCAACCCTGTTCTATGCAACCCTAGTTTACCCTGCAACCAAAATTCCCTATTTTTCTCAGTTCAAATTTAATATTTTTGTTTAGTCACATTTTTTTTCACTTAGCAAAATAATATATGGGAGTCACACCAATTATAATTTTTTATTCATAATAGAGATTATTTATATATCAATAATTTTTAATTTATAAATTGTTATTAAAATTAATCACTATAATAATTATTTTTTTTAAAAAAAAATTGATTGCCTTTTTAACAATTTTTATTTTGTAGTGATATAATGTATCATAAGTCATCATTTTCTTAAAGTTAGGTGAAACCTAACAAGGCAAACCCACAAAGGAAAAAACTAGTGTTACTAAACCAAAAAAACTCACTTGAATGCTTTAGTTGAGACTAAAAAAAAGATTTTAATTAAAACATAATTACGATAATAAGTACATAATTTATATATTTAATTAAATGTAAATAAATAAATAAATGGTTATATTATTATAGAATAAAATATTCTCATATTATATGTTATTATATTGATAGAGTAATAACATAGTCGCAAAAAAGAAGATGCACTTCAAATAATCTCTCCAAATTAACTTACAGTGATTTGCTTTGATATGGCAAATCTACTAAATACCATCACACTAATATTTATATGATTCCTTTTTATCTCTATTTAAGACACAACTATATGTTCACCTAACCTTGCTATATTTGGTGAAATATCTGGTCTTATATACTTTACCGAAAAAGGAATAAAACATTTCATATCCACAATAAGTTATTCATTTCCCTTGCAATAAACCGTAGATATCTTACTCATTAAGAAATATAGTTTTTATTTTCTTCCTGTTCCATCTTTTAAGCTCTTAGTAAAAATTTCTTTAATACATTTAACAACCCCATTTTTCATAAAACATATTATTTTGTCAATAATATTTTGTGAGTATTTTTTAAGCAATAAAGTATTGAGGAACCGAAATATTAAAAATCTGAGTTTAGTAATTAATTTAATATCATTACTTTTAAATGCATTGATAAGTATTTACTAGCTTAATTAAAATTATTTTTAAAGGTAAGTTCTCGGAAACTCCGTTTATTGAAATCAACTTAAAAGGGTTTTTAATATTTGAAAATATGGTTTACCTAAATTAATTTAATTTAAATAAATTAACAGTAAATTTAACTATTACAAAATCATTATATGGTGGGGATACTGATTTTATTTCTAACTCATTACGTGTCACCTTAAAATGATAGCAATTTTGAAGGTGATTTCTTTCGTGTCTCTGTCTCTACCGACCAAAAGAAAGAAAACTCTGCTTGAAATTGAAATAAAACATTCTTAATTATTTCGAGCACTTTTACAAAAGTTGTACTTCCATATTTTTGTTTGTTTATATGAGTTTATTAGATATAAACCAAAGATATAAAATATTTTAAAATATTAATGAACAAAAGAAAATCTTAAATTAACTTTAAAGTGATTATCAGAAAAATTAACTAACATTCGTGTATGTTTAACCAAAAATACTAATTTGAAGTAATTAAAAAATTATTAAAATCTCATTGTCACTTTTTGGTAAGCATTAAATAAAGGTTTAATACCTCTTTTGGTTCCTC